CTGAAAATAAAAACAATAGCCTCAGCCTTAACTAAGCTAGTCACAGCTCTAACAGCTGGCTGTATCAGACAAGCTTGTAGCAGAGGCCAAACCCAGGCACCTCACAGCCATTAATGATGTGGGGACCCTCACGACAACCCAATGATGAGCAAGTGAAATCCCTTGCGTGCAAGCGTGAAGCAGGGAGTGAAGTCTCAATCCAGCCAAGTATTTGTGTGCCTCTGAGTAAGCAAGACTACCTCCTTTGAAGTGACTTAGAGCCGTAAATGCAGGATTAGACCCAAGTGATTTACTGAGAAGTCAGAGGATGCTCAGACACTTCACCATGGGCACGTAGGCCTTCTGCCAGCCCAAGTAACTCTCCCAAGGACATCTGTCAGGACGTGAACCTAAGTGCCAATGTGTGACTTTCCCTCTAAGGTCAACCTCCAGCATACATTCTGTAAACTGGATCTATAAAATGAACTCCAGCAGCAAGATGCCATGCTAGCCCAACCATTCCACAGTCTCTAGGGCTTTTTCTGCACGTCTGGTTTCAGAACACTTGTGCCGTTGCAACACATTCAGTGCCTTTGCCATACAGTCTTCTTTCCCCTGATTATTCAGAAAAGAAAAAATAATCTGACAAATCGGAATTGTGGGACCAATACTACGAATAACTAGCTACCTTTTCAATCAAAATTCTATGACAAATTGGCATCTGTTGTTAAAGTGACAAATGCATCTTTCCCTTCTGTAGCCTTTCCCGCCTGTTACTCCATGGATGATCATGCCATTTATGGGCTGCTAACAAACTGAAAGGTGCTTCACTTTCAGGATGACTGGGCTTTGTCAAAAAATGAAGATACACTTTTTTAAATGAAAGAATACGTTATTCTAGTGAAAATTAGAGCAACATAATCACAGATCTTCCATTAATGCTTTTGTCACCTGCACATGTTGCCCCCCACCTGCCTTAAGGCGCAGTAAAGCAGGGACAGGACGATGCATGGCCCCACTGAAAGTACCATGTAGAGATGTTTTGACCTTGCAGCATTTGTAATCCTTCACCATTCTCCCACTGTCTTCCATCTCCTGTCCCTTCATGCTCAGCCCCACCACCCCAGGTTTGCTGCTCCCCCTCCTCAGGTGAAGCAGTGACAGCAATAGCATGCAGGCAGCTGCAGGTGTATTTTTTTACTCTGACTCTGCCCAGAGTATAAATCCACTCCATAATGTCTGGGAATTATTTCTGTGGTTATCTATCTCACCTCCCAGATCATCCAGGCAACGTGGCTATTGCACCTGACTGAAGCTCACTGACTTCCAAGGCCATAAGTGCCCCAGGTGTTTTTTAAAATCTGCCAACATACGTAAGAGAAAGTCTGGGAAAGAAGCACGTTAATAGAAGCCAGTGTATTATAAGGACCTTTCTTCCCTGAAAAGCAATCCACTAGCAATCAGGCTGGAGAGCTGGGGGAGAAGAGAGAGAGAGAGAAGAAAGAAAGGAGGGGCAAAGGGAGGCAGGCTTGGTGGCTTTCTTATTTACATTCATCTTTTAAAAAAAGAAAAATATCGCAAAACAAAAGAAGAAAATACTTAGAAGGCAAGGTTTCCATAGGAAAAAAATATTTTATTTTTTTAAGAACAAATTCAGTTTGAAACAGATGTGGAATGTGATTTTCATCATTTTCATTTTCTGGGAACTAATTGCAATGTGGAACTAAAGCAGATTTCAAACTTATGACCGGCTAGTTTTAAAACAGAACAAAACAAACAAACAAACAAAAAAACAAAAAAAAAAAAAGGAAAGAAGAAAATATTTATAACTCAAGCATAATACTGTGTTACTTACAAACTGGACAAAGAAATTCTTAAATAAATATTCATGGTACACAATTTCAGCACAAATATGCGGCAATTTGGCAACCTTTTATACCATTTTTTTCCTCAATACAGTGCAAAGGGGAATGACACTGCCTTTAAACAAGCTGTAGCTAAATACATTGCAAAATTCAAATTTTATACAAAACATCTTGCTCAGACTTTATAAAAAACCAACATTGCTCTATATACACAATCTGGTTAAGAAAAGCCATTTTTGTCTTGTTTTCATGTGGATTTTTTTATTATTATTATTTAAAAAGGTGAATAAGGCTACTGTAACACCCCAAATCCATATACAGTAAATCTGAACCTATTTACAGCATCTTCACTTAGACATGATGGTGCAAATTCCAAGTTGGGTGACTAGGGATGATCACACAAGCAAGGCATTTACAGTAACTTTTCAAAGCTGGACCAACGTCAAATAAAGGAACAGTTGGTAGATTGTCATAATTCTGCACCAGACACAAAACAGACGCACAGTACATTTTTTTTTCAATTGGTTGCAGGTTGCTCTTGAGCAATTCGTCTGATTTTTTTTTCACAGTTTAGTACATAACTAGAATGTAGCCAACTGATGAAGCATAGATTTGATTTAGTAAAAATCAGTATCAATAAACCCATCTTTTCCCTGCCTCCCCCTCCCCCAAAATAAAATCTTAATGATTTACAAGAGAACCTTGTATGGAAGGATTCACAGAAAGGAAGGGTTGTTGAAAAGAATTACATATGTACTGTAGTTAGTCACCATGGTAACCTTCCACAGAACCATGGGTTGGGATTTTTTTTGTTTTGTTTCTCTCTTTTGGACCAACATCCCAACATCATTTTCAGGTTCAGGAAAGAAGAGAGAATGATCATTTCTATGGCAGATTTTTTTTTTTCTTTCTTTTTTTTTTTTTTTTCTTGCAGGTGCTCACCGGAGGTCTGAGAACCCCAAAATGCTGTTGCTACATTTTCTTTCCAAATCAGAAAGCAAAGTGTTACCATAGTAACATGACTATGTTAGAAATGTCTATTTGCATAGCACATATAAAAGTAGAGGTTTTTTATTTCCTCCCCAGGGTGGGAGTTTTAGGGGAATAACCATGCTAAAGAGAGAACTTTAACCTGAACCCCCCCCTCGACGAACCTCAATGAAATCTACAGAACACATCAGCCCGTAAGGCAAGGGAAAACACAAGACAGAAAATAAATGCCGGCACACCTTGTCATTGTTAAGTATGTGATTCAGCAACATTGACTTCCTGATATTTTGGGCCTTATATTTCCTAGTTTTCTCTTAGGAGATGCTTTGGATTTTATTTTTTTTAATATGGTCCCATTGTTATTTTTGGATGGCTGATGTTTTTCCCAGAAGCAATTTCTTTTTTTTTTTTTTTTTAAGTGTGTATATATATATATATATGCATATATATGCATAAATAAACATGTAAGTGTGTGTATATACATATACACACACACATGTGTATGTAAAATTATGACAATTTAAGACTATTTAATTGCCGCAAATGAATTTCACATCTTCTGGTGTAGATTCTGTGCAATCTCAAAATATATATTAGTAAAAAAGGCAAACCAAAACAAAAAAGTAAGAAAGAACGACAAAAGAAAAACTCTCACTTTATATCCCTTGTGTTCTATACACCTATTATAAATAAGACATCTTCCTTCTCCATCTCAGTGTCATAATTTATTTAATTCTTACGGACTGCAAGAGGTTTTCCATATGTGCTTTAACTTCGCAACAGAGCACCAATGAACGGCTGTGTCAGTCACAGTACCTACACTCACTGTGCAGGGACAGCACTACAATAAACCGAAGTGTCAAAAGGCTCAGTGAGAAAGAAATTCTCTCTTACTTTTAGAGATGAGAAAGGGTTTTTTTCCCCACAACTTTACCAGTGATAGAATTACAGCTCATTTGACCCGTTGGCTTATAATCATCATGGTCAGATTTGGCTCTCTGCTATTTTCTTAAATGCTTTCCCTGTGTTTAGTATAATGTGATAGTATAGCAGCTGAGTCTGCTTAAAAGTCATCCAAAGCAGACTACGTTTTTGCTACAGCTTCAAAGCTGTGTATTTTATTGCCAGTACCACAACAGCCCTGCCCTAATACATCCTCAGCGGCCTGCTATTGTCTTGTCCTCTCCAAGCCTGTTCACTTACTAACAATACCCCTTTGTTCTACTGTATTGAAGGTACTATTTCTTTCTGCACACTGCTATTTGATAACCATGAATTCCTTCAAATGCAGCCCTAATCCACTGCGTGTGTTATTGTGTCCCCTACTTGCCTCTTAAAACTTAGCATACCAAAGTGCTGCGCTATCTAAATTTTTTTTTCTTTTTTCTTCCCAGCTTCTATTTTTGAGGCAGCAGTATTCAACTGTAACTGCAGTCAGCCCTTCCCTCCACCACCCAGTCCTGCTCTTAACTTTGTTGACAGCCTAACTTTTTGGCTGGAAGGTTCCTTACTATCAAACACAATTTCTATAAACGCATTACCCATTCAAGTGAGGCTGCTGTGGCAGATGGATGGAGCGTGGATCTCCAAACATTAATGTTTCATTAGTGATTCAGGAGGTGGAGTGAAAGGAAATCTTATGTGAAGGATGGCAGAGCCCTGTATAACAGAAACAAATGGAACAGTGACGGACTAAAAGCAAGAGAACTTTAACAAGTCTTACTTAGACACTATAAGGTCTGTGTGACAAATCCAGTACGCGCTGAGAGAGACACACAAAAGTCAGAAGATTGCATTTCAAGCTTGATATATCCTAGAGCACCTTCCCAGGATGCCTAGAGCTATTAACATCCACAGATCACTCCATCTTCCCTTGGCTTTTGAACATGCCTGAACGCCCACAGCACATGGCTTTGAGGATGATGAATGTAACAAGAGTACAGCAATCAGAATGGGCATCTTCTACATAAAAGTCTTCCAGCTTTTAGTGAATACTTATTCACCGAGATAGGAATTCTACAGACTAGGTAAGCTGTCCAGCTCGCGTCGACTCCCGGAGAAAGAGCTGTCACCTTCTCCCCCCTGTGCTTGAGTCAATGCTAGCGCACAAGGTGTCATCACAAACCCCAACAGAAAGCATTTGACCAGTGAGTTTCCTCTACAACTCAACTGTACCACAGAGTTGGTTGTGTGTTTCTCAGACCTTGTAATAAATGTTTGCTGGACTCTGAGGAGGCATCTCTTGAACTATGTACACCGGATGTCCATAGTCGCCGCTGACCTTTTCATAGTGGGGGCAAAAGACACTGTCTGCAGTCCTTAGAGGAATGATAATGTCACTGGGCTCAGAACCATTGTTGTTGCCACTGCGTTTTGGGGTGGCTAACGTACTAAGTGAGAGAGTTGTCGTGTGCTGAGGGGAATGCTTCCTGTGTCTTCTTCGGTACTTCAACAAAAGAACCACCAAAGTGATGATGATGACGATGAAAATGATGCACCCTGATGCAATCCCTGCAAATAAGGCCACCTCTGAACCCAGTATACTGGAATGCCCAGCCTTACTGCCATCTGTGCTAGATCCTGGAAAGAACGGAAATACAACAGACAAAAGTTATTGCCATCCTGTGACCCGTTTATGCTGCTTAAAAATGTGTAGAGTAAGTAAGACTGGAAGAATTAACTGACAGCTAAACTCTGACAAACCAGCTACTCTGTTAGACAGCTAAATGCAAACAGCTGAAGTCAGCAATCAATATTAAACAAGACTTTGTGTCTGTTGGTCTCACTTTTGTGCTGCTCCCAAACCACCCTGTTTCATACATCATCATCCATCAGTCGTGAGGACTGGCACTGACAAGGCAGCCTTTCATGCACACCACATCTTTTAACAGATGCCGGCCAGCCCCAGGCAGCAGAGAGGGGTGGGATAGGACTGTGAGGAGAAAATAACATAGGGTGTCACACCATTCTGCTATTTGGTCTTTCACATATTGATTTAAGTTAAAACGTCCTTAGTGCCTCTTTATGTGGATTCCTCTTGCTTGAAGATGAAACCAAGGAGCTTGGGGCAGTGTGGGAGATAGGCAAAACGGCTATGGCACATATCTGTTCGTACTAACTTACATTTACTCAAAACAAAACACCACCATGCATTTGGTAGTCAGGAAAAGCTCGTGTGCTGAACAGCCTGTTGAATATTTGGTGCCATCACACTGTCATATTATTTGTTACAAAAGTTAAATGAATGCCCACTTGACACTTTCTCACTTGAAAATTTGTACCAACTTCCCTCTCCTGATGCTCGCTCACAGGTGGAAGATTGCTGCAGATGCTACGTCCATGTAACTGTGAACTTTTCCCACCACAATCTCCACAGGAAATGGCTGAAGCCTGCCCAGTAACCACCATATCAAAGATTCATTAGCCCAGTAACTAATGGCAGAGCCAGCAAGGAAAACTTGCAGCCATTTTCAGGAACCCCAGAATGAACTGGCAGCAAGTTTTGCTTTGTAGCATTTCCAATTCACCAATTTTTCTTCCAGAGACCTTGGGTCTTAAAAGTTAGTTTTTTTCTTGTTCACTTAATGTCTTGAAATGCATCCTGAAGATACTTGTTTTGAACCATCTGTTTATCTTGGTTAGATAACTATTAACAAAAAAATAAATCTTTAAATTTAGTGAAAGACCAGCCATTCATGTGTAGACTTTATAGGGTCAGTTAAAAGATCAGGACATTAATTATAGATGCCTTGAAATAAACTTTATAAATGGCTGTCGAGAACCACTTGATAATGTATTATACGGGAAGAGAAAGACAGAAAGACTCGTTCATCTGCCAGAGTACTAAATGTAAGGCAGCATTTACCATCGTAAAGCCGCTTAGTGAACGTCCTATCCAAAAACTTTCCTGTAAATGAGTGATATTCTCACAAGATGCAATTAACTTCTACTGCGGAGTGGAAGAGGGGAGACAGCAGCTGTTGCCAAAACTTGCAGCTCCCAGACACTACCCACCAGAGCATCAGAACTGGCTTTCACTTCATCTCAGTACAAAAACATTTGGTTTTCTGGCACTTTAATGGTAAAAAAAAATGCATTTGGAGACAAAGGAGGAGACTCTGCCAGAGCCCTGTCCCAGGCGGGAGCCCCACCACACCTACCTGAGTGGTCCTTCACAAAGGGGCTGGTGGTGGAACTCTTCCCGTTGGTGCCAGCTTCCTGCTCGGGACGCTTGGTGGGATCTGTGTGCCGTGGCAGCCCCGCCGAGTTGGGATCTGGGGGAGAGAAAGACGACTCATGCAGCTTTGGCGCTTGATGGTATGGAGCCTTATAAGCTGCCTCTAGGTACTTCATGAGACACAAATGGTTTTGAACAGAAGAATCTTTATGCAAAGGACTGGGGGATATAAGAACGTAATTTTCCTTTTAAAGCAAAATGGTTGTATTAGTTATTTCAGAGGTTTAAATTGTGAGGCCATCTGCAGAAACTATAGGGACTCCTGTAATTGGCAAGAAAAGCTTTGCAGATGACATTTCAGTTTAACTGAGGAAGCTGATTGACTACTAAACCAACCTCTACTTAGAAGAATAATTCTTTCTTCCTGCACAATAGGTTATCTATATGTGAAAAGAGACAATGAACAAAAACCTCTCTGTAATCAGAATTCATAACAAGCAAACTATAGAAATATTAGCTTCCCTCCTTTCATGTACTTTAAATAATTTTGAGCAGCAGAGTTGTGGCTTTTGTTTTTAAAATAAAAATAAAAATGACTGAAACACACTACTCCCAGGTGACCTTTCCTTCTAGGGATCTCTCCATTGAAAAGATCTTATTACACTAACCCTCCTTCTGTAGAAATCTGTCAGTAGCCGAAGAAGAGAAAACAGGCTTTGCTTTCAGACTGTAAGGGAGGAATGACCACACTAGACTCAGTTTGCTCTCTGCTGTACAACGCTAAAAGAAGCCTGAAAACCAAAAGGACATTGAGACTAATAAAAATGATTTCATGAAACAGCACATGATCTTTACCTTGTCCAACTTTCATGAGGATCTTCATGGTTTTTGTCTGGCACACCCCTCCCTCCTGGTTATCCAGGCCCTCCAAAGACCCATTTGATGTTGCTGATTAAAAATAAAAGAAAAATAATAATAAAAAAATAAATAAAAATCAGGAAATCAACAGGCAAAGTGATGTGAACATGAGTGTCTGAAAGCAGAAATCTTTCAGTCTACCAGGACCTGTTCTTGCTGCTCAGGCTGACCTATGGAAAGTTGTGAAATGTTGAAAGCCAAAGGAATGAATACACTGGTAAGCCATACAATATATACAAATGGAGGAATGCGTTATCAAGGCTTCAAATTTACAAAGCAACCTTCTTTTCTATGCACAATCAACTGACTGACTGACTTGGATGAAAACACAGCACCTTGCTAAAAGGTGATGTAGTCAGCTGAAAAGGAAGCCCTGGCAGGCTCACAGGAGCAAAGCACTGAAAATTCACCCTTTTTTTTTCCCCCAACAATATCTTTCTAATCACCACGTTACACCTGCTTCCTCTATTACTAATCTCCTGCTGGAAGAAGTGAACGCATACAAAAGACCCAGGTGAAAGCTGAGATTCTGCACTGATTGGAAAACCATTTAATATTTTAAAGTACAATCTCACTTTTCTCAGCATTGAGGAGCCTCCACGGGGGAGGGTGACGGGGGGAACACGCTCGATTCTCACGGAAACCTTTTAGCTCGTACAAACAAATGGGTGCTTTCCCCTGCGTTTATATTGTTCTTGCTTATCTAGACGCTGGCTGGAATGGCACAACCCAGCCGCAAGCTGACACTGCAGTGCGATTTGTGCATGAAGCACGAATGAAGAGAATCCAAAACGCTGAGTCACGGTCCAGGGGTGCGCCTCCACTGCTGCCCGAGCCAGCTGTTGCTTGCAAACCCCCAACAACTGCTGAAAAAATATTGGGCAGCTCCTCAGCACTGGCCACGTCAGCATGTGCACTGGTGCCCCGGCCATGGTGGCAAAGCAGGCACGTCCACCAGCAGTGGACTCCAGCTTTACTATTTAGGGAATGCACCAGGGGTTCTCCCACCCTGGCTGTCCTGGGGGGTGCAAATTTCGCCGTCATTTCTTTGAGCGGTTTATCCAAGGCCCAAAACACACGTACAACTGGGTGCATGCATGCGCACTGGCACTGGGCCTCCAGCTGGAGAAAACAAATAGAAAGTGGGATATAACAGAGCCCACTGCTTGTCGTGGCTGTGGTGATCTGCTTAAGCAGCACTTTCCTGCCTCTGGTCCTCTCCTTTCAGTTCAGGATCTAATTCAACCAGGGCTTCACACTGTTCAGACCTTTGTTTTTAATTCTTGCTCCTTCTCATTCACCTTCCTTGGGGATTTGCTTTCACATGCAGCCTATGTATATTTCCTTTTTCCTTCACAATGTCTTCCTAGCCCCATGGCAGTATTTTTCTTGCTCTAATCTTCTCTCTAGCTGTAAAGATATAAACCCCATACCGCTGAACCCTGCTTCCTAGCCTTTGATGTACTTCTTGTTTTTGTTCCACTTCTGCCTCTATTGTGACTAACTCGAATTACAGCCACCATAGAAACCTCCCAAATTGTTCTTTCTTTTCCTAAAATTCCCTTCTCCTCATACATGGTCCCTCCCAGTTCCCCCTCTTGTTCCCTCCTCCTGTAAAAACATGACAATGGCCATACATGCAACTACTTTTTTTCCAACTTGCAAAAAATACTTTTTTAAAATATAAAAGAGCACAATGAGTAATTTAAGATAAAAGCCGATCTGAAATGTGCCACTGCATTGCCAGGCTCAGAAAATAATGGAGACATATAGTTTTGTTTTCTTTTGTTTTTTTCCAGAGGGAAAAAAAAATCAATACTAAGAACCAGTTCTGGACATAAATCAAATGTGTCTTTGCTGAAAGTGGTTTTTATGACCTGTTTGCCAATGTACCAGCACAAGGACCAGGGAAAAAAAAGAAGTAAATAGAAATACCAAGGCCGAGCATCAACTGAAAGTACAACTAATAAATACTGACTTTGTCTTGCATTTTTTGTTATTATTAGTTTGTTTTTTAATCGAGGCAATGGGGGCTCACATCTCCTTAAACACCTTCTACCTGATTTTAATTGACTGGAGTGCTGCTGCTTCTGAACATCAATGCCTCTTTATTCTTTAAAGGCCTATCCATTTAACCCACAGAGCAGGAGACCTCAATAAGATGCAGAGGATGCAGCCTAACCTCAGTACAGAATAAGAAAGTAAGACAGCAAAAAGGATGCAAAATTACTTCAAATAGAGTCTCCAAACGGGAAGGCCCAGATGTACAATGAGTCTGGTTGTGTGCCTACGTGAGCGCAATCTGCCTTTCTTGCTTGCTAAAAGAATGCTTTCATAGCTTTGATGTCAGATGAATGAATTTGCAGAAGTATTCACTTTTTCCACAGTTCTTCAAGGGTTTTTCGAAAAGCCTACGTTATAGCTCAGAGTAGAGACTGCTACATCCCAAGAACCGGGGAATTTTCAAAGAGGAGCATTTCAGTGACAAAGCAAAGTTTCCATCTCAGCTTCTCCCTGTAATTAAACTGACAATTACCCAAGGCCACTGGAGGAAATTATTTTTCAAAATTCATTAAGACTATCGAAATACAACCTCACATATCCCCAGTGTACCAGGAAGAAAGTGGGTAGTTTTAAACACATCGTTTCAAGCTTTGAAAAGCTGCACGGAGAAAAAGAAGTAAGCTGGGACATCAGAGAAAACACACTTTCATACAGCTAATGCCCCTTGACAGTTCAGTGTGCAGAAGTCAAACAAGGCAGCAAGTACAAAATATTCCTCAAACACTTGCCGCTGCCTTTCTCTATTGATCTCCAAATGAAAATTATACCCGCTATCATGTAAGCTCCTCCACAGCACTCACACTTCTGCAGGAAAGTGACCCTGTACCTGGAGCTCTGCTCACACTGAAAGGATATTTTTTTTTTTAAAAAAGTGTCTGTGACAAAGAGTTTTGGGTATAAACACAGAAATGTAACACAAAATCCTTGCATGTAAAATGGAAATGCCACTCTGGTGTGTTTATATGATCAAACTGCAGACCTTCCATCCAGTTTATTTTTATATACATATACATATACATAAAAAAGAACAGGTTTGGAATTTTTTTGTATTTAGATCTAAATATGGATATATTTGAGAGGCAATTACTCACGCACAGACTACCACACATGGCCCTGTGCTAAGAAGACTAGGTATTATTTAAATATTAACATTAATAAACAGAATTAATAGAAAGTTTCTCATGAATATTAAATGTCCTCAGGATCCCACACTTCACTTTGTATTAATACAGCAACACATAGGAAACTAAAAGTAAGTACAATGTTGCTAAACAGGTAGAAAAATATTTTTAAATCTTTTGATGGATAGGTTTTCTCTGATTTTCTGAGACCTGTCCTGTTCCACTGGTGTCAATTGCAAAACTAATAATTAGAGTCAAAAGCACAATAAATTATTCAGTCAACAGCTTATCCACACCTACAAATAAACACATACTTGCCCTAACAATCTCTATTGATTTTAAGACTTTCTGACAAAATTGTAATAATTTATAAGCAATTTTTACAGCAGTCAGTCAAAAATTATGTTCAATCTCTGTATACACAGACACTGTGTTTCTGCATTCCTTGAATACAACAGCAGCTGTCGTTTTTAAGGAATATGAGTTTGGGTTTTCAACTTTCAGAAAAAAATGACTTGTTACGAAATCATGGTTAAGAGTCTCCTGATACAGTCTCACTTTGGAGAAGCTCGTATACATTTTTGGTTTCGTAAAACACTGCCTTAACATATCCTCTCCCTTACACAAGAGGAAACGAAATTATTCAGACCAAAGAATATCATTCCAGCTCTGCCTTCCCTTCTTTGATATATGTAAATTATTTTTAAAAAAACCCAACACGTACACAAAAGAAAAGCAACTGGACTCATGTAAATCAACATATGATGTTTTACATTTCTTTGCTTTTCAGACTTCACAAGTGTTGTTTATTGTACGAAATCCATTATCCACAAATGTACAGGCAGAGAATCAGTGAGCGAAACAGAGTCAGCTGACAAGAGTAGTTCCTGGCTATGATTCTTATATAGTCCCCATGGAGAGGAAGTAATATTACATTTTAATATGTCTTCATTTGATTGTTATTACTCTGCCTCCCAGGAGGCTAAGCCACTGCATGGATCTTGGCTGTTTTCGACCTATCAGGTTGGTAATGTTGCTCTAATCAGATGGAGAATTAAGCTGCTGGATTTGTGCCTGTATATAGTTTTTCATTCACAAAGAGATTAGAAATGAAGGCACAGTCACAAAAATTCAACTTCCTTCACTCCTACAAATGCACATTACAAAATGAAAAAATGCCACCACAATTACTTAAAAGAAAATACCAGTAGACAAAAATCTCGGTCGCTTAATTCTGCCACAATTATTGCCTATACTTTTATGTTCTAGGATTATGAAAAGCATTACCTGCTTGCAAATTAAATGTCATATCCTTTGAACCAACACAACTTTATAACACATATATATTTAGAGCTTGAATATGAAACGGACTACATAGCTGAAGAGAGAAATTACAATCGTCATACTTAATTTTCCTGTGAAAACTAAATTGACCTTAAACCACAAACTATAGAAATGAATAAGCCATGTCAACCGATGGGTGAGGGCAAAATTGGTTTCGTCCCCCCTTAGTGTGCAGGATGATACAAGCCATTTGGCAATGTATCAAAGACACCACATTGACGAGGTCATCAAAAATTAATTGCTGCTGGTGTGAATCTGTTATTAGAAAAACGAGAATTACAGGTTTCTTTGGAGTAGATCCATACTGTCCAATAGTAGTGATTTTCACCATTTTTTTCTTAAATACTGCTTGAATTCAGCATCAGAAAATAGGTTGACTCAAAATCAGAGCTAAATAAAATCAAATAGAGCTACCCATCTCCACTTTTCCCCAGCTGTGCTTAGAAACAGAATGGAAAAACCTAAACAGCAGCAAAAATCCATGAAAGCTTTAGATCCAACAGTAGTAAGAAG